CCCATAGCTAGCAATCCAAAACAGTCCAGTGGAGCCTGAGCGGTGGGTGTTGCCTTCTGACACACTTCCGGTGATGTCAGGGGGTGTGGCATATGCAAATAAGTTATGCTAATGAGCTCCGGCAGCTCTTTTTCTACGAAATGACCCGACAACAGCCACCATCCATGTTTGTCCTCACCACCAGATAGCCACAGGGACACTGCCACAGAACTTGGATGCTCCAGTTTGCCGAGACCCAGGTTTGAATCTCCACTCTGCCATGGAAGCTTCCTGGCTGGCCGTGGGCCAATCGCCCTCTCTCAGGCCGGCCCCTCTAAGGGGGCTGGGTTAGGAGGATAAAATGGAATGGAGAAGGAGGGAAGCCGCTTGGGGCAGAAGAAACATAAACTAGGGTTACAGTTTGAAAAGCGACAAAGAGGCCGTATTCCCCAACCGACTGCTTCGAACACAGGATCACTGGGACACATCTCACTGTAGCAAAGTCTGAGTCCGGCCAGGCACCTTTCCGAGCAACCAAGGCTGCGCTCAGACGTGCGAAATAATCCACTCCCAATCCACGCTCGGAGTGTGTTCAGACGGGCAGCTAATCCCGTCATTATGCCATCTTGAATTTTATCCCGATCTGGAACACTGGTCCCATGGTGGACCACCCAGAGGTCAAGTAAAATGTAATCCAAGAAGACATCCTCAGAATTCGCCCTCAGCTCAGTGGGATTTGCATCTGAGTAAAGGTATATAAGACTAGGTCTCTAGCACTGTTCCTGTCAATCAGGCCCACACCCTGTTTTGCCCACTGTGACAGCACATCCTTGTTGATCCACCCACGTGTAGAGATTTTTTTAAATGGTGCCCACTCAGGATGGTCTAACGTCAGAGCACCCCGACGGGAAGATTGCGGGCTGGTGGAACCCCGCAGTTGTCCTGCAGGTAACCGAAAACCCCAGATTTAAAGTGGTATCTTTTAAGTAGGGCTCCAACGCTTGGCAAAACGGGATGCCCACGGAAGAGGGACATTTCCCAGATGTTTGTGTCTGGACATTACCTTTAGATCCGCGAGGCCATCCGAAGCCCTCTGAGTGCACTTTCCCAACTGGGTTTTTACCCTGTGAGCTGGCAATGTCCGGATGGAAAGTGGATGGCTTGGTGTGCCTGTGTCAGACTTCTCCTCCTCGCATCTTAATAAGCACACTTTTAAAGAAAAGGTAACTTTATTACTCGGTGAGAGCCAGTTTGGTGTCACTGTTCAGAATGAGCCCCAGATTTAAAGTGGTATCTTTTAAGTAGGGCTCCAACGCTTGGCAAAACGGGATGCCCACGGAAGAGGGACATTTCCCAGATGTTTGTGTCTGGACATTACCATTAGATCCGCGAGGCCATCCGAAGCCCTCTGAGTGCACTTTCCCAACTGGGTTTTGACCCTGTGAGCTGGCAATGTCCGGTTGGAAAGTGGATGGCTTGGTGTGCCTGTGTCAGACTCCTCCTTCTCGCATCTTAATAAGCACACTTTTGAAGAAAAGGTAACTTTATTAGAGCTGAAGGTGCATAACAGGATCACTGTTCAGAATGAGGGGTAAAAGCAATGGCAAAGCATATAATTAACATTCAAACTACTACGGGCCAATTGCGGGTTCCCGCACACGCCCTTGAGCCTGAGAACTAACATCTGCATCCATAATTGTTTCGGTGAGTTACATCTACGATTCTACAGTGAAAGAGGCAAGCGCACACACAGAATGAAAACAAAACATTGGCAGCTTGCTGACAGCCTGAGAGCAGCAGCCCACCTTGTCTTTCTGTATCGGCAATTCATTGTCCTTGGTGTAACATTGCTGTCATTCTAGTGTGTTCCTCTTGTTAAAAATTATAAAAATATAATAGATAAATTTTTAAAAAATGTTTGCAGGGAGGTGTGAAGCCCACCCAGAGAACCACGTGCGCGCCCCACGCGGGTCGTTTCCCTCGTCTTTTTGCTCGCAAGACTCCACAGCTTAGAGGGAACATTGCGTGGAACAAGTGTTTTAAAGTGTGTGTTCCCGTCCTCTTCCTCTTAAATATGTCTACAGCTCATGGGCAGTGTTCCCTCTAAGCTGTGTTAGCGTGAGCTAGCTCACAGTTTTTTAGCCTCCAGCTCACACATTTTTGTCTTAGCTCAGGAAGGAGGGCTCCGGAGCAAACTAATTTATGCAGTCGCCAAATCACTCGCTCAGAACTTTAATGCCGGTAGCTCACAGAGTAGAATTTTCGCTCACAAGGCTCCACAGCTTAGCGGGAGCATTGCAGCCAGGGTTCCCTCTAAGCTGGGTTGGTGTAAGCCAGCTCACAGTTCTTTAGCCTCCGGCTCACACATTTCGGTCTCAGCTCAGGAAGGAGGGGCTCCAGAGGACGCTGGTTTATGCAGCCGCTCCCTCACAACTTTCATGCTGGTGGCTCATGAAGTAGAATTTTTGTAATAATAAATAAATAAATAAATGCCAGGAGCTCGCAAAGTAGGATTTTTGCTCACAAGACTCCACGGCTTAGAGGGAACATTGGCAGGCTTCCGTGTAGATCGGCAATTCATTGTCCTCGGCGTAACACTGCTGCCATTCCAGTGTGTGGGTCTCTTATTAAA